GGTATGTGGCGGGGCCGTATAGCCCCTCAGTGGCCCCATCGTCCCGCCTGTGTGGGGGAGGCGAGCCCTAAGTAGTTCTGTTGCGCACACAGCAAGCACATACAGCCACCGACCGCATACGAAGGGGGCCGCTCAACACGACTAAACTCGACTAAAATCTGCTGCCCTCGGTGTCCTACGCAAAGAACTGCAGTACACGTCGTGTTATACTCTTAGAACTGTAGTACACAAATGGTATCACAGTTTAATTTAAACTGCAGTACAATTGGTACTACAGTTTAAACTGTCATACTGTACGACACTACTTGAGTTTCCAGAGTGGATTTCGAGTCAATACAAGTCATGTTTGTCGATTGAAAATTAAATGTTTGACACCTTCCATCCCTTAAAATGTCCTGCACCCGGTCGGAACGGGTACTTACTTACTGCAGGGAGCGAAGTCCATATGAGCTAATATCTGCCAAAAGTTCCGTCACGCTGCTGCACGCTATGCGAGTCCAGCACACAACACGAATACGACCCCCACCCACCCTCTTTCCTGGTAGTCGTCGTCCTTCGCGCCACCTTTCTCGAAGTACGCAACACAACACGTTTTACTGTGCCAGACGCGGCTGCTCAGGCGGGCCAGTACGCTCAAGTCGAATGTTCGGATGATCCCCCCCCCCTTTTCCTTTCCCGTAGCAATACGGAGCGCGCATCTTTTACGAGGACCGCGAAAACTCACGCAGCACTGCCAAAAATGTTAGCGACTGGAGGGTCGGTAATTTACAAAAGTTTTCGGAAAACTTCCTAAAAATTCCCAGAATGTCTAGTAAATGACTAAAAATTTCCAGAGTCTGGGAAAATTTCCTTTTTTCCTGAAAATTTCCCGAAATTTTCTTTTTTTTCTGAAAATTTCCCGAAATTTTGTTTCCCTTTTTCCTGAAAATTTACGGAAACTTTTCAGGGTTTCCAACCCTAGTTAACGAAGAACACAGACAGTGCGTTTTGCAAACAGGACATGTTTTATTTAGTTCAACGCGGAAACTCACTTTTGGTCGGAGCTGAAATAATTATTGTCCACTCGTGATTCCGTTTGATGACCGGGAAACCTTTTGACTCGCTTCCCTCAACACACGCACACCCACACACTGAAGGGTGGTGCTCCCCCTCCCGGACACACAGACAGCGTCGTGTGGTATAGACAGGGACAGGAAGCCTGCCAGCCAGCCGCTCTCGAGCAGAGAGTCGAGCCGGGCCGGCGGCGGCGGTATTCCCATTGATGACTTTGATCAATATATTGACAGGGTGCGGGGGGGGTTCGGTGGCAAAGTTGGACAATAACACGGGCTGGCGTCCTCCTCTGCTCTCTCCCCTGGTCCAGGAGACCAATCAGGAGATCAACAAGAGAGCGAGAGAGCGAGAGAG